CTGCCATCTGGCGCACCGTTTAGTTAAGCTTCCATCAATGTTGATACTTTTGTTTCATGACGTTACCAATGCGCGTTTGTAGAGATCGTAAGGATTCCTTCAAATAAGCTGAACTGGGACATTCCATCTCTATAAGAATGGCCTTCTGCCTGAGTAAAATGATCAACAATTCATGTATTCTTTATTTATACCTGTACAGTTATAATAAAACACAGTTCATATCATATTTTGTGAATACCAGTACTGTTGGTTCTGAAAGAAATTAAAGATGATTCCCAGGTCCTATTTGGGAAGGAGTGAAAGGTCGTCACTGAGTTTGGACGGAATACATCAGTTGAGCTTCAGTTGAATTGCCTTAGATAAACTGAGAGGGACCGTGGATGAACTCAAAATGGACATAGTTATATTAAAGATGCGGGCGGTTATCTGAGGAGCGTAATAGACTAGGATGAATATCACAGAAGGGCCGTGGGCTTTCAGAATGTTCCACAGCTGCTGGGTAGCCAGCGTGTACCTTGAGCGGGATCAACGGTTCGTTCGCACTATTCGAACGAGGGGGTCGCATTTGTGAAGGGGGATCGTATTTCGAGATTGAGCAAGGTGATCGTAGTGGGAGCTGAGGTTGACGGAAGGTCGTTAGCGGGGGTTGTGTGTGGACGAATTTCAGGCTTTTCGACGAATTTGGTGATTTACGAAAGTGCAGGCAAAATTGGTGGATTTGCCACTTCATGAGTTCGCCCCCCCCCCCGCTCACTCGACTCGAGCTGTTTTGGGGAAGAGAGAAATGAGCAGGTGTGAGGATTGTGTCGACTGGTCTCACCATCAGTATCAAATCTTTGGAAAGAGCCGTAATGGTGAGGAGGGGGGGGGTCGGAGAAGTGGGAAGGGATCATATTGGGGAGTCCTCTAAGACTGATGGTGGTGATGGGGGTCGGTCGCCCTCAAGGCCGATGTCAGACTTTGCGAATCGCGCGATTCGCTAGCGTCCGCGGTCGCGTTGCGGTACCAGCCAATTGAGTGATTCACTGGCCGCGACGCGACCGCAGACGCTAGCGAATCGCGCGATTCGCAAAGTCTGACATCGGCCTAAGGGAGGGGGTACAAAATTTTTGAAAAAATGTGAACGTGACGGTTGTCCGTGGCCCTGAGTGCTCGCTGACTGCTGATTTCTGCATATTTGAACCAATACCTATACTGGCCAATTATCAGCCAACCTGATAAGATTAAGCCCAAGTTTACGGTAAGTCTATAACTTTGCGCAGCGCTGGTGAGCAATTTTCTAAGGCGAAATGAGCACAGTTGTGAACAGGCTATTGGAGTGAAGTGCTAGTCAACCAATGCGTGAGCAATCCATAGATATTAGCCACCAAAGAGTGGTTGACCCATAGGTGGACAGATGAAGCGATCCCCTAACCACTGAACAGCGTTGCAATGCCATGCGTAGACCACATTTCTGCAGTAGATGCTTGCGTCGAGAGCGGCGATGCAGTTGCAGAACGTTGCATCGCAGGACAGTTGCGACAGTGCACAGGATGAATAGCATTCGTCGTGATGGATACAGCACACATTGACTGAAACCAAAAGAAATTAGAATTTATCTTTCGCCGTAAATCGTCAGTTTTTGACGCATGCGGATGCAAGGCGGCTACTTCAGTTTTGGCTCCGTTCATGGTCTGCGTGCGACTTGGCGGTTCGCCGATTCCGCCGAGTTGACGCACTACCTACCGATAAAAATTTGGCGATGATCTCGATCTATGACAGATCGTCGGTGCAATACGACGGTTCTTCAGTGCGATAATGCTTCATGTTAGTCAGGTGGGGGCATCGATTTCTTGAATACGGTAGGCGCAAAATGTTTGTACTGGTTGGCTATGTCACGAGAATGATAGTATAAGCCGGATGGATGGGGGGGAGGACTGTTTTGCGGTTTAGTGCGACGCATGGACATTCGTGAGCCAAGGGTAGTGTAGCCATCATAACGCTCCGTCATGATAGCATAGCATCGCTAGCCCCCACCCTCGTTTGACTACCGTATTCAACAAATTGGTGTGCCCAACCACCCCACTCGTTGACTTCAGCTTGACCCTTTAAATCGCCAAGTCGCTGGATAGCGAAGTCGAAGAAGTCGCGATCTGTGAACGAGGCTTCAGGTCTCTAAGTTGGGGGGGGACTCAACTGAGGCCAGAAGAGACTTCAAATGGCAAAAAGTCATCACGAAATCATAATGTTTATAGATTACCCGTTCGTGGCTCAGACTAGTCCTAGCGCTTTTCAAACGACGTCGATTGGTCTCCCACTCACTTAGCACCCGGTGGTTTTTAAAAACGAAAAATGGTTTTCAAATTTCGCAGGATAACTCACTTCCGATCTGATCACACGATGACGTCATCAGATTTGATAGGAATCGGGTTGTAATATCAGTACCACACTGATATTCAGCAAGTGGTACCTGTGCTCCATATTGATCGAAAATCAATAGAGAAATCAATATTTTGTACAAGAAACAGACTGGCATACAATATTGGTAATGGCAATGGGGATGTTTGCATCAGCAAAAAGCCGTATAGCGATCTCGACGAGAACTGGTTCCCGTTAGGTATTATGGCCGGATAAACTGCGGCAACACTGTAGCTTAATTTGTCATGCGGGAAAAATCGATATTATTTGATGATCAATGTTTATTCTGAAAAGGAAACGCCCATAAAACAACACACGAAAAGCATAGTGAGACACACGTAAAGTAGGGAAACACGCTGAAAATGATAGGAATATTGATTTTATAAAAAATAGGAATAGGTGATAATCGTTTGGTCGCTACTATACATCTCCGAGAATGAAGTAGACTGTGGAAAAACATATTCGGTTCTCCCGCGTATCGATTTTATCGATCGGCTCTGGTCCAATTTCACAGTTTGAGAGGAGAAGGAATAAAATAAACATCACAAGTTCAGATTGAGAACGATAGAGAAGTTCTCGTTTTGTATGAATGAAAGCATAGTTACCTCATGAGAAAGGGTATCGATTACTTGATAGAAATCATTGGTTAGGTAATTAGATGTCTTCGTTAAAAGGTAATTAATTCAAATACTATGCTGAACAGGTATATTAATATGTCATCCCTACTGGGACGTTACTGCGAGCACCCTGGCCTACTCCTCTCGGAGACGATCACTAGAATAGACCAGGCGGTAAAAAGAATGAGCTTTGGGAAATTCGCAGATATAGTAGAAGTTGATTTGGGAACATCTGGGCCAAAGTGACCAGATTCATTCTGCAATGACCGTGTAGATCTTGCCGTTGTCAGAAATGGTGATGCTTTTCGAGTTCGGATCGTATTGTACGCTTGAAAGGCTGGTCATACCTGAAAATGAGCGCTACAGTACGCGATATTCGGCGCAGATCCCAGTAGGGGCTACAGTTTCTCAAGTAGTCAACATGCTCATCGGGATAAGTGGTATAGGGTTCCTTAACGCTCAATTCGTCGCAACTGTAGAGCTCAACAAGCTAAACTCACGGTAAAAATATTTTCGACCGAAAAATTTGACCTCGCTCTCTATTTTACCCAATAAATTCAGTGGCTAAGAGTCCCATAGTTCACGAAAAGGACCCAAACGTAAGCAAAAACTGCATTTGTTCTGGCAACAGTTAGATAACGGAAGACTTAACGTGTTCAAATATCCCTGCTGGACTCTATTCACAATGCGGGCATGGCAACGCTTCCATGTTGTCTCCCGTTGCAGGCACCTTTTGACATTATGACTCATGGCCTTAACACATTCACACTTCTACTGCATCCTCCTCCTACCAATCGGTTTCGCCTCTGTTCTCGCAAAATCGAAAGGACTCTCATTTAAATACTCTCAGTGGGTCGCCATGATCGCGATTCCAGGCGCGACTCTTTCTATGTCGGTTCCTTTGTTTCGCCCTACCCTACCATCGACGGTTCACGTAGAGTGTGGGTTCGCAGATGTGTGTTCTCTCGCAGTACAACTGAATCTTCGTGGGGCGGGAAACTTGGCTCATGTTGTCCCAGTCTTCTAACTGACATAACCAAGAATGCAGCCAGAATTCCGATGAAATTTCCTTTAAAAATGGTCAGGCATCCCTAACTACACCATAGCAGGCCGCTGAAAAACGATGATTTCCAGTGCCTAGCACTTCTACAATATCTTATTCTGATGTCACAGTCAACATTCCATTCTATAGCTATGGCATCCGCAAGCACCAGCCGTCTCTGCATGAATCCGGCGGGCCCGCGTTAAATTGACTGGGTCGGAGATTTCTGATCAAAATTAGGCCTCACCCGAGAGAAATGCGATGGTGCACAGAGAGGGAGAGCATGTACACGAAGGTCGGGAAAATTTGGCAAGGCCGAAGCACTAAGGCTCTGAGATACAGCACTGGCCCCGCCCAACGCCATAGCCCCCCCCGAATACAGTGCTGGCTTCGTTTAGGCCGCCATGGAGGAGGGGACTTTTTTCGCTTGCCGAGGTTTTCATACCTTTTCTCACAAACTTCACAATCCTCCCTAGTCTCTCATAAGCTTAATATCCAGGTCATTTTTCTTCAATCATATGTATGATGCAAAAAATTTGGTCTCGCACTCCTCCGATGATTAACTCCTCTCATTTCCTCCTTCATTTTCGACGCGTTTCTTTTTCGAAGTGCACCAAGTCTTTCATGCATATAAAATTTTCTGCGATACAGGGGTACACGCGGTGGCGGGGTATCCCGGCACAGAATTCGCTGGCGTGAAGGCTGATAAGTGCTTGAAGGTGGTGGCTCTTACTTCCGATCGCCGCAGATCCATTGCGGCAGTGTCACAGCAACGCATCTTCGTATTCTACGATTTTCGTCGGAAGTGGAAGCAATGTGCATTCCGGAAGTCCTCACTACGCTGATCACATTCAATTTTTATTTGTAGACCTTCCTCCGCCATTTTATTTCTGAAGCACGAGATTAGTTCCCGCGTTCAAACCGCCGGGACCTCTTCGCTTTTCCTTGCGCAAGCTTTCTATCCTCCGCTATGGTCCCTTCCTCCTGTGACACCAACACCTCGTGGAAGTGACGCGTATGCAACACAATGGTGTTTCAAACAGTAGAAGGGACACAATCATGATATGACGGTAGATTTTTCGCTTCCCTTCCTCATCCTCCCTTCCTCTCTCCACTGCCCTCCAGCTGCCACTGCAGCACCATGTGGAATGAACGGAAGTGTGCTAAGCAGGTGTTTATATAGCCCTAAGAGTGTTATCACAACTATCCTGCTACAAAACATTGATATCTCAAATCCTGTAAGCTACCCGATTTGTTAGCGGTTTGTTTATCCCATGAGCTTCCTTCTCACTCACTTCATTTTGCGGACGGACACACATACATACATACACACACACGCACACACACACACACTCACACACACACATACAGATACACAAACCGACACACAAAGTTAGCGCTTTATAATATAGTAGGATATGACCACAATGACGAAAGTGGGGCGTAGTAGCCTTTGGAAGTGCACGCTCCAGTGCTACGGTCCGGATATCAAAAGCGAAGTCCATTCTCAGGCCAAGCCAATCAAGCTCTTCCCTTCGAGGCGTCTGGGTGATGCGGGACACGCTGTCTGGGAAAGGCTGAATCGATTGACTTGTGACTCCAGACCTGGTGTCCAGAAGTCCTTTTTGGCAGTCGATTTAAACGTTGTAATATTGCCGGGTTCTGAATGTGACTAGAACGCGTGGCGCATCCCAAATGGATTGATAGGCTCGAACGTTTTATTCTTATCGCTTTCTTGGAACAAACGTGGTGCTAAGTGGGTTGGGGGGGCACGCGGCAGCGCGGCGCTCTGTTCATCTGCTCCCCTATGCCTGCGCCACCGCGTGGTCCCCCCCCAACCCACTTAGCACCCAAAACGTGGGTATTTCTCTTCGCAAGAGTCTCTCTGATCATTTCAAATAGCCTATAATTTGAATTGTAGATCTCCTACCTTTCCATTCACTCTGTTTGGTACTGACGTACATATGTGCATAGAAATCGTAAGCCGCGGACACTGTCACATGATCGACGTCACATGACACGGTATACAGTAATCCACAGCGGATGAAGGCATTACAGAGGCGGTTAGGAAGTATAGCTGGTAATGACCAACTTGATAGTACCTAAATTCTAGAAAATCTACTCGCGTAAGTATAGCATGTTTTGAATCTGCCTGTAATTACGCCGTTTGCGCATAGTTTGACGTCAATGCCTTACTTTGTTTCAAAAAGTGGATAAACCAACCTTTAAGACTCGCCGGTTGGACACGACTGGCTGTCAGGAACTCCTCACCTTTCCTCCGATACAGTACCCAAAGTCCCGTGCTCATCAGCTTGTATGTCTAGGCCGGGAGTTGGAGTTGTTGAATAAAGGCCCCTTAAACGCTTGGTATTCATTTTCATTTTCCTACACAGGAACCCACCTCTGCGTCTTGCTCACTCTGGCCGTCTGGACCCTCACCTGTGAAGCATTCAAGCGTAATTCTTTCGTGTCTCCAGTTTTCATATTGAAAGAGATCACAACGTTGTCGTAGCTGTAGTAAACAGTTCGGTTGTATACGGTATTGTCGGTGCCATGGAACGGATACGGTAGTGTGAATATCGACTTCGGCTCCGAGTGATTCAGGGAACGCGCCGACGGGAACTGGAATGGACGAGGTTTCTTTTCAGGCTTAAGTTGTTGGATAGAAAAACGGATTTACTGCAAGGATACTGTAGCCGAGATCAAATTCTGTGACATAGTAGGCGTGGCCATCTCTCAAAGCGGCACCGATTGTGTTCGGTCTTATACCAATCAACAGTGGATTGGACAGCGTGACGTCACTCGAGCATCCTAGAAAAAATACGATACGAGTATTCTGGAATGGGACCCCCCTTATTGTCATTGATTTTGGAAGCGACTACGGCTCAGAAGCTAAGTTCGGGATTAATGAACGAGGAGGCTTTGCGCTAAAGAAATACGATGTGAAACCTCGCGCGCGCGCACGCAGCTATGTACTCACGTTGCGCCTGCGACTTAACCCTAGGGCTTACGCGCCCCAGGCCGCTAGGAATGCACCATAAGCTACGGCCCATCGCCATGTGCCCGCTCACGAAATCAAGAGTTTCTATCTGCCTGCTAGTCCTGAAGAGGACTTTGATTTTCGATACTGCACAGTTGATTTCTTTTTGGCCCGTACTGACATTGCACTTCACATCAGATCTGTCACTTACAAGCGCAATGAGAGATAAGTTTGATCCCGTACTTTGCCTTTAAGTACGGCCGCTTGGGTGAGATTACGCCGATCAAAGACACAACACGATAAGATATTCATGATACCCGTTTGTTTGGAACCAATACGCGTTTTAAGATGAAAAATGACAGCGAGCAAGAGAGTGTCATTAGGGGGGTAACTAGTTGACGGCGGAGCGGACTTCGATCATAGGAGAATTCACGATAAGAACGAAGGTCAAAGAAGGGGAAAATTGCATAGTTGGGAGACAGGCGGACCTCCTGAGGGTGCTGACCGACGCGCAATTGGCAGCGAAAGATTTGACCTCGGCGATCTAGCATGGCTCACTCTTGGCGCGGTTGGCGGGGTACGCCCACCGACTATCTAATCACTCGCCGCAGGTCTACGTGGCGAGTGATTAGATAGCAGAGAGAGCGTTAGCGTTGAAGAGGGCACCATAAGGGTTGCATCAATGAGTAAATCAGCGGGTAAGGAGGGGGTCCCATTTTCGTTTCGGATTCCGGGCCGTTTCAAATGGCTTCTTCTCCATTCCTGCTCCACTGACCACCTCTACCCTTAATTCCGAAAGAGCCTAACATTCATCGTTAATTCTGCCTCTGAGCGCAAGCAATCTTGTGTTATTGACGGCCTCTAACAAAACATGAACTTTACAAACGTACTTTTGCGCTCCGTTCGGAATCGAGGCATTGCTGTCTTCTTTTTTATCGCCCTCGTCGTCATCGTCGCCAAATGTGTGGGCGGAATCGTAGGTTTCGTTGTCAATTCGGCGCTCATATCACTATCCAGAGTGATCATTCTTCCAGCATATCCCTTTCTTAGACACATTCGGTGCATCATTTTTTTCTGAAGGTATCGTTTTTTTCACGCAATCATGTAGATCAATGAGAGGACGCTCACCGAAATTCGGAGCAAAAAACTGAGAAAGACAACATTATCGGGAAGAAGCAATTTGAGCGCTCCAACACGACTGCTGGATGGCAAGCTGACGCTGAAATTCTTGCAGATTATTTTATAATTCCAATTGATTGTTCAAATCGAATTTACATATTTTGTTGAGGGTAAACGGTCTCGTCAAATGTGTGGGAGCAATATTTGAGACCATCGAAAATTGTAGGTGGCATCGTTGCATCGCATTGTTGACTGATAAACTTCACAGGGTAAGAGAGGGCACGAATATGTACATGTGTTCGTGATATTTTCAAGGAGCACAATTGTCTACAATAAGGCCACAAATTAGGCAGCTGGATGAAACTAGGGGTCCGGATCCGTGAGATTTGGCCTCGAGTGAGAAAGAAGGTCTACAAGCCCCAGGAGGCCGTGATAGTGCGTGTTCTAAAGTGCACGCAAGGGCACTTGCTGTATGCTCCGCGGCGCGTGACCCCCTCACTCGCGGTATACGTGGCCGTCTGTGCCCGCACGCGTCCGGCTACTCTCGCGTTTCCCTCCTCGCAGCGCTGTGTCTCTCCGTCATTCCATGGCCGATCTCGCAAAGAAACTTCAATGGTTTCTTTAGCCTTTTCGCATTTTCCCAGTAACGTTCCTTATTGCAATTTTTACCTAATTTCCAAGAAAACAACACAAAATTCGATCTCGGCTCGTGTCTGTAAAGGCAAACTTCGGAGTTAAACCGAGTGCTGAACTCAAGGCCTTAACCTTGAAAAAGGTCGGATGTGGTACGACGGCAAGACAGGACGATCGGAGAGGTCAAAACACGCGAGAGAGAACGTCGTTTGAGAGAGCACGCTGATCTCTACATCAATGCCGACCCACATCTCGCGGTGGGTGGGAAGCGTTTCGATGGTTGGACGGCCCGTAAGGATTAGCGCCCTAACCGCGCGATTTTCGCGACCAAGTGAAGTGATCTAGGTAGGTACGGGTCTTACAATTTCCCTCGCGGTATCCTTCCTACTAGTCGGGGCTAATCCCGGGGTTTGTCTTTAAAGTGATCGATTGCGAAAAACCTCCCACTGGCGTACTAAGGCGAAAAAAGAAGAAGAAGAGAGCTGAAACACAGCCACATGATTCGATGGGCTACGAAATAGAAGAACAGGTTACTCCCCAGACTGGCCAAGTGCTTCCGCTTAACGCATAAACGGAAGGCCGTGCGCCACACGAGTGGCGCCACGATTATTTCCTTTCTGTTTTGTTACAGTTTCTAATAATTCAACATACCCTAATACTGATGAGCGAATAAAATGGATCCCGAGACTGCACGGCTGGACTTTGACAAAAATTAGCACTAAATTTCAACGGATATCTCGTCCTCATTTCTAACTACTTTTTCTATTTGACGGTGCCTTATCCTTGCGTCACAGTAGACCCCTCTCGCCTGAGTTAGTTCACTTCCCCTCGCCCGGGCTAGCTGTCGAAGAACATGTCGCAAGATGTCTTCCTGCCGCTTCGTTTGCGTTCGCAACCCTGGTTTCAGAGTGGAAAGGCGGATTAGAAGTTGTCGTCAAGAGAAATCTCCTCTTGGGAAGGATGAGACACGGACAGCTACTTTAGCCCCGTTTAATACCCTCCTGTTCGCATGACGCTACACAGAGCTACCTGTGCGGCCGACATGGTCATGGGGGGCACAGTGACAAAAGTCTTGTCGGCCGCTCCCGTGTTAACAAAGTATTCCAGCCAACCCACTTATCGCAGTGTGTTAGTAGTAAACGGCGAATTCATCCCAGACAGACAGCCAGAAAGTGGGCATATTGCGCTGTGGGCTTCGTGTAGAAGATGCCTTCTGATATAGTGGAAAGCAACAATTGAAAGTCGAAATTTCGTCCATACCTGTAGGCTTACGATTGTTGTCCTTTGAACGACAATAACAGCTGCGCAGACGAGAACAGCCAACCATGGCAGGGAGGATTTCCACATATTCAACTTCTTCCGACTACCATTCAATACATCTAATGCAGCTCTGTAAGTAACTAATCCAGAGATTATTTTAAAAACGCTATCCGGGCAATCGTTGTGATAGAGTAAAGGTAGAGGATAAAGCGGTCAACGTTCGGAGGATGAGATCTCAGCGAATTACAAATAAGGTTCTATTGACATGCGCCATGCGTTTAGCATCAGTTCATAACCTCGAAAGCCTCTGATACGCATCCAATTACACTGTGGAACGCCTAGCACGACAAAAGAAATAGAATAGATAAGGACATGAAAATGGTTCTCTAATGGTAGCTGATGAGGCGGATAGATCGCCGCAAGTGTGCCACATCGGGGACTGACAGATGGTCCGTCGGCGGCAAAAATAGAAGTCAGAGACGAATCGCGTGCGTACGTCGTGCTTTCGCGTCAGGTGTTGAAAAAATGTACGCTTGTTAAATCCTAAATTGTACAGACGCGGCAGCTGTGATCTCGTCCGCTAACTCTGCCCTGTTTGCCGTGCGAGACGGGTTTCCTGTCGGATACTCGCCCAAATCGAATACCGGACAGAATGCAAGGTATCTCAGGTGCCAATCGGTGAAGTGCATTCCAAAAATATCTGCAAGTCCAGGAAGTCGGTTTGATCTGGAAATGTTCCCCGTGGGGTCAACCATCGGGTTTGATTGACTCAAAAAATTTTGCCACCCTTCCTCCTTCTGGGAGTCTATTGGACCCCTTTCCTTGTAGTAGTTTATATTGTTTTATATGATTTCGTTGAAGAAGTTGAATGCGGTGTGTGTAGTATTGCCTCATCGCAGCCCCGTGGCGCGGCTTTGCGATCGTATAAGCTCCCATTATACGGCCACGATAGGAGCTCTGGAAGAAAACTCTCAGAACGGGTCCAACTTTAAATATTTCTATTGTACAAACTCCAAGCAGATCGTGGATTCAAGTGATCTCCTTCCTTATTAGTGGCTCCCTCAAGGTACTGACAAATCCGTTGTCAATTGGAACTCGCAGAAGAGCACACCCACGCTCAATGGACTCTGATCAGCTGTCATGGTGCTACCATGACGAGGCGATTTTGACCAGGATTTAGAAAAGTACGACTTTCTCGAGGGCGGAAGTGGTGTAGTGGCAAGTGGCACGCTTACCACGCGAGCGGTCCGGGGATCAAATCCTGGGTCGTGAGTCGCCCGGGCCAACCAAGCCTTCCATCCCTCCGGGGTCGGTTAATTGGTACCAGACTTGTCTGGGAGGATAAAAACACTGACTTGTACATCGGCTGGCCCCCGCAAGTCATTGTATAGGCCACATCGCATTCAAACGCCACTACGAATGTACAAATGGAAGTAGAATGCGTGCCGCATCCCAAAAGGGATTGATCAACGGCAAATGCTTTATCCTTTATCCTTTATCCAGTTTTTTTTTCTCATCAAATAATAGCAAATCTCTTTTGAATGTTCATTTGTCGGAAAAAAAAACCCTCGTCTGGAGTTTTTTTTAGTGCAAACGCGACTTTTTGAGCTCCTAACAAGGTAACTCTCTTCTACATTGATTCTGCGGAGGTCATCGGACATGTGAAAAAAACTAGAGACCACTGCAGGCTTTCTAACGACGCCTTACGGGACACTAACACCCAATTTTCTGCAATATTCGCTCCTATGGATCTCTTTAAAGAGGTTTCTAAGACTTGCGGGGCCAGCCGATGTACAAGTCAGTGTTTTTATCCTCCCAGACAAGTCTGGTACCAATTAACCGACCCCGGAGGGATGGAAGGCTTGGTTGGCCCGGGCGACTCACGACCCAGGATTTGATCCCCGGACCGCTCGCGTGGTGCCACTTGCCACTACACCACTTCCGCCCACGGTGGGTAATGCGGGAAGTGAAGGCTTATGGTTAGCTGAAGACTGGCAAATTTGTACTTTTGGATAGGAATAGAAAGTATTCTTAAAATAAGTCGCCGGAGAAATTCCCTTCTGCGAATTTTTTTGGGTCTCGAGAGGAGAATTTTTCATAAATGCACTGCCTGGGTTGCCCAAAATTTCGCTTCAAAAACAGTTGGAGGCCTCCACTGCAATCGTTCTGCTTTGAATGAATCGAAATTGAAGCGCTTCCCAGCAACTTCTGCTTTGGGAAGCGCCTGCTTGTTTGGTAGTCGCAAAAGTACCTAAAATTTATTTCTACGACCAGCTCCCTTACTGTGAGCCGAATAAGACCCCCTCGTCTAGATCTACCGGACGGACGCTTGACCTTAGCCAGTCAGTTTTGCCTGCGCTAATTACTAGATATACTCTGAAGCCACTATTTTTGAATCGAAATTGCAAACACTCGGAAATAAAGGATTGATCAACCCGGCAATTGGTGTCAGTGGGAGTGAGAAAGGAAAGAACGAAGCAAAGAATGGTCATAGCTGATTCTGGCAACAGTAATAGTGACTGAAGTCTATTGTGTGAGGGCTTTTAATTCGATTGGGCCGGTCAAGAGAAGGAGAACCGGTGAAGTCTGTCCTTTTATTATTCTCTTATGAAGGAACTCGAACCCATTCGCAGGAAATGGGCTTGGATACTTGCATAGGGTAGTGGAATTATGTACCGCAATGACCTGACCGGTTCTCTGGCTGGCTCCTTTCGAGTCTTCCAACTCTTTGAAGGCACATAAATTGAGGTATTCCAGCCAAATGTGTGAAGAAAAGCAGGCTTGAAGTGGACTGCGCCGATGAGTTATTGCACATTTCCTGTATCTACTGAATTGCTTCGTCGATTTGACAAGCACAACGAAAGCATGGCGCACTCTGACCTCTAGTGAACATTCTGACAAAACACAAGGAATAAAAGCAGTAAAAAAGGCTGATGCCAGTGTAATACGAGAGCTTCTAATGAGATGTTGTGGTTGCTTGTTATTCCTGGCAGCTATGGACCGGACAAAGAATGAAGAAGAAAAGGAAGAAGATGAATACGATCGGGAAATGAAAGACGCAATGAGAACGGAAGAGGCCATCATTTATTTCAAGCTGCTCTCAAGATTTCTTCAGTTCCCTTGGAATTCAAGTGAATGAAAGTTTTTCAGCATCGATTATTGATTGATAGAAAACCTTCAGCTCATCGGATTCATAGGGATCCACACCGGAGTAAGTCAGGAGTGATTCTGATTCCTTCCATTCCCAATCT